TAGAAAATGGCTGGAGGGAGTGAAGGGGAGGGGAGGGGAGAGAAGGCAGTGAGGAGAGAGAGTTTCACTTTGCTCCGTTGTTCTGTCTGATGTGGAAAGCGCTGGAAGTTCCCGTCGCAGTCTGAGTAGTCCTTTCACTCTGGAATGTTCTCGAATGGTCGCGACAACATCAAAGGAGACAGATTCCTCTTCACTATTATTGGTTTGTTTTACTATTTCCGATTTTTCTTCTCACGTTAAGTACTACTGGAGACTAGGGAAGTAGAAACGGAATGGAACTTCTTCCAGAGAAGTAAATAACGACGAGGGAGCGATTTGAGTATGTTTGAATGGTTTTGTCAGAATTGGTTGAGCTATTTTCTCTACGACGAAGACATTTTTCTCGACGACAGAAAATCAAACAGGACCCATAGGGGGCAGCTGACAACATTCCCTAGGACGTGTATTCTTTTCTTTCCACCATAAGTTTTCACAAGAGATAGAAAATGAAAACATCTTGGTGTGAGAGGATAATACATTACTTAAGATCAGACCAGGAACATTATTATCATTGTTCGTATAGTAATGTACCAGTCTCTGTACAACGAAGGTTGATCTTATCCTATTTTATCTTATCTTGAATTTGGTTTATAATGGTATATAAGTAGTACACTTAAAGTTTACAATAGTACTCTTTAACAGACAGAAAATACCATCACTTCTGCAATGTTCATACAGTAATGGTCAAAATGGCTAGCACAAAAGCATACACTAGAGGCAGAGAGTCTAAAATCAAACCAAACAATGGATGAGAGAAAAGAAACCTATAGGTTCTACGTCTCAAGCTTTCTATCTTTGGAAAGGGAGATGACTCTCAGAGTTCCTTGCTCCAATCGATTATTATCTAAGAGTTAGAAAGTTCCTTGCAGGCTACTATACCCTAGAGATAACCTCATAACCTTTTGACCTGAAGCCACTAGATTCTCAAACATTCGTCTCTCGGGCAATGGTAGGATATCAGAATGTTCCCTCATTCTCATGAATGTCTTGTCGCCATTTAAAGTACATGTAGTTACGCTTGCTTCTATTGACTACTTCTACTTTTTAAGTATTTCTCCCCCCTGAAAAGTCATACATTTCTGTAATAATTTAGCTATGAGGCAATTTTGTTGGTGATCATCGGTTCGTTACTTACCACACAATAACCCCCCACCCTCCCACCCCCTCTCCACGCACACACGCAATTTCTTTCTCCCCATCCCCTTATCTTTCTTCCACCCGAACTCTCCCACCACCAACAACAAATCACAGCCCTCCCCTCAGCTCCAACCACGAGTTAGTTTTCAATTAGGATTTGTTTAGCGTTGAGCGTGCCGAGTAAAGAAGCCTGAAATTGTCCATTTTCCAGGATCATTTCTGAAAACAAACACACCACTGAGAGTCTACGGCTCGGATAGAGCGGAGAGATGGAAATGGTAAAGAGATTACCATTCTCTGGGACGGGCCCTTGAAAGGAAGGAAGCGACTGACGCCTGGCCCATGAAACAAGACCGACATCTCCAGGAATCGATGAGGACATTTGAGCTGGGTAGCCAAGCGAGGGTCGCACTCGGGTCGTTCTTGGTTCTAGGATACTGAGGGGATGATGGGTCAACTTTAAACAAAACGTCCACGAGATGACTGACGGTGAAGAGAGCTTGTTTTCCCTAGTCCAGAATTTGACATGAAGATGTTCCGCAAAGATAACATTATGTGAGAGGTTAAGACAAAGTGTCCTACATTTTAAAGGAGCCTTCAGGTCGATATGTTGTTATGGCGTTTTAGGGTACAGGGGAGAAAGAAGGAGAGGTTGTCTTTTTTTTAACTTTCTGTAGTCATATTTAAAGAGAAGTTTAGTTATTTGACGCAGTCCGTCTTTCTTGCCAAATCTCCCCACCCCTTTCCAACTGTACACACTCGTCCCCGACACACACACACTCACACACAC